TTTTATTTTTTAATTAAATTAATGAAGTTATTATCTTGTAAAACAAGAAAAAGAAATTTTAAAATATTATAAAAAAATATCATATTATTTAATTAAGTTATCTTGTAATCGGATTTCATTTTGTAATCGGGCGGTTCGGGTAATTTAAAGGTAAAATCATAAACCAAACCAATTATATCAGTTTTAAAATTTTATAATTTAAATCAACCCAATTTCATATCGGTTTAGATTGGTTTTTTTATCAGATTCAATCAGTTTTGGTCAGATCAATTAGATTGGATCGAATATGAACACCCTTAAGTAGAATAGTACTTTTGTTTTGTTCTTATTTTGTTTTATCAAACAGAAAATCAATAAAAAAAATGGATAATGCTACGTTTACCCTCCTTTACCACACACTCCGTTACACTTACTTACTCTCTCAAACTCCGTTAGTTTCTGTTAAGCACGTAGCCCAACCCTTTCTTTCTCTTTCCTTTCCTTTCTCCTTCTTACTATTCACCATCCTCCTTGTTGATCAAAACCATCATAATCCCTTTGGTTGATGAACTGGGAACATACAAAGAAATCACGAGAATCATCAACCTCTTGCGCTCAGAAAACATTTCGATTCAAGTTGCAACCTCGATTGCGTACTGGGAATTGCATATTATGGGAGAAAAGAAGCGATTGAGAACCAGCAGCAACCCAGCAATTACTTTCCGTTAAGCACCCAGCCCAACCCTTTCTTTCTCTCTCTCTCTCTCATTTCCTATCTCCTTACTGTTCAGCATCCTCACCAAATCCATCTTCCTCCTCACCTCCATCCTCATCCTAATCATTTGCAGCCTCATCTTCCTCTTAACAACCTCGATTCCTTCGAACCCACCTCCAACAGATCTGCTTTCGCCACCACCACCCTGCAGCGCCGTTTCCCCTGCTTCCTCCAAATTTGCTTCTGGGTTTGATGCTTCCACTAGATTTGCTTCAGGGTTTGATGCTTCTCTCTCCAGTGTTCTTCCTTAGATGTTCTATTGTCCAACGACCCACAAGAAATGGAAAAGCATTGTGGCAGCGATGGACCATTTGAGAAAACAAGGGAATGATCGGAGATGTTCGAGAATCAGCTAGAACTACAGAGAAAAAAAGAAAGAGAGAAAGAAAAAGTTGGGCTGGGGGCGTTTGAGAGTTGACGGGAAAATAACGGAGATTAAGCGGGTGTAACGGAGTGTATGATAAAGGAGGGTAAACGTAGCATTGTTCTAAAAAAATATTATTATAACATTTAATAATAGTTACATAATAAATTTAATAAAATTAAATTTCATATATTTAATGATTATGATAAGACTCATTTATATTTTTATGTTAAACCATTTTAATTTTTTCTTTTTTTTCTTTTTCTTTTTATTATTATTATTATTATTATTTCTTTTCATAAAATTATGAGAAAAACAATTTTTTAATGAAAAATTTCTTTTTAATATTTTATTATTACTCAATTTTTCGAA